CATACTTTCATTTTAAACCAGGCTACAGTCTCCAAGTCTTCCTCAACAGTATTCCTGAACTACTAAACAAAGTTAAAAATCGATGTGCCACATGTAAATTTCAATGGTGAGAGAAACTCAGATAAAGTATACACACAAAAATAGCTTGAGGTATTGTTTTGGTCATATGTAACAAACCACCCCAAAACTTAATGATAAGGTAGCAAGTATTCATTTGCTTATCCATTTCCAAATTTTGTCAGGATTGATGGGAGCATCTTGTGTCCACTTCATATGGATTCAGCTGGGAAAGCTGGATTGACAGTGGAGGACCCACTTCCAAGATGGCCTCATTCATATAGTAGCTGGCAAGTTGAAGCTGGCTGTTTTCCAAGAACCTTTGTTGTCTTCCACACATGGCTACTTGTCTTTCTCAATTTGTTAGACAAGCATGCATTCTAAGAGAGCAAGCCCAACTGTTCAAGCCATATTAAAATCCACTGGCTTCTCCTCCCAGTACTGGGTATTAAATTCAAGACCTGCAAACTGAACTAAACTTCCAGCCCTTTAAAAATTTCTTTGGAGACAGGTTCTCACTAAGTTGCTCAGTCTTGGCTTGACTGGGAAAATTTTTTGCTTTATCCTCCCAAAATAGTAGGATTACAGGCATGCAGCGTCACACCTGGCTAAAAATCCACTGATTTTAAGAAAAGATTTGCTCAATAAAAAAAAAAGATTACCAAAAAAAAAGGAGGGGGCTGAGGATTTAGCTCAGCAGCATAAGCACCTGCCTTGCAAGCAAATGGTCATGAGTTCGATCCCCGGTACTGATAAAAAACAAAAACAAAAACAAAAACAAAAACAAAAACAAAAACAAAAAACAAGATTACCAAAAGAAAAGATTTGCTCTGTCAAAGGAAAGGTCTGTAAACTCATAATAGGTTTATTTTTTCTCTAATCAGTTAATTTTGAGTGCCTGCAAAGACTTCCTTTTAGCACCTATTCCATACACTTTTTAAAAAGATATTCCATTCAGATTTATAAATAAATAAAAATGTAAATACATCACATAATATACATGGATAACATTATGTAAGAATGCTTGGTGTTTTTTTTTTACACTTAGGAAGCATGAGAAAGAGAGAGACAGAGGGAGAGACAGAGAGAGAGAGAGAGAGAGAGAGAGAGAGAGAGAGAGAGAGAGACAGAGAGAGAGAGAGAGAGAGAGAGAGAGAGAGAGAGAGAGAGAGAGAAATAAAAAAGAAAACAAGACAATCCTTAGCAGAGTCCCAAAACAGGAATCAGACAGTAGTGACATTTTTTTCCTTCTTTGTCATACTCATTTTGCATTACAGTTAAGAGCAGAGTATATGCCACTCAGGGCCACTTCAGGCTTGTAACATGCTCCTTGGCAGCATAAGAGGGGAACACATTTATTTGTCACCCTTCCCTCTGTCTCTTTTTGCCACAAAGCTTTCTGCACAGCTTCACCCATATCTAATGGAACTCCATTCACCTGCCAGAACCATCTGACTCTCCCTGAGATGAATGGCAGGTAATGCATTCCATTTTCTGTACCTAGACAACCAAGAGTTTGGCTTTAGTTTCTCAGAGCATCGTGTATTTCTACTAATTCCAAGTAGACAGAACTTTTATGTATTTGTGCCCTGCTGCTATTGTAACCATGAGCTGTTAACAGCAGATAAGCTAAGGAAAGCTTGGCCAACCCACGCAGAGAGAGATTCACACCCTATTGTAAGGCTTCTATCTGCCTTTGAAGGAAGTAAAATTGGTACGCGAAGGATTGATTTTCTGTGAATCTTCTTACTAGGTAAGGGGACTATTTCCTTCAATACTCTCTGAGGAATGTAAGTCAAAACATTGGGAAAGAGTGTGAGACAGAGCAGGTTCCTATAAGTCTGATATCTTACATTTATCTTGTATTTCTAAAAATTAAAGTACAATTTCCATACCATAAAAAGGACACATTAAGGTGCACAGCTCATAGAATTTCTATGCTATTGTAACCACCATCTCAGTAAAGTTATGCAATATTTCCACCATTATAAAGATATTTCTTTTCAGTCAGTTCTCCTGTCAAAGATAACCACTTGCACTTCTATCACCATGATTTAGCTCGTGTGGGTGTCTCTTGGGCTTTTTCACTTGATGGAGTTTTAAAGATTGATACATGCTGAGCTTATCAGTGTCTTATTCCTCTCTTTCCTAGCAATATAACAAGTGGTTATATTACGGTATGCATATCCTCACATTCTCACTAATACTTAGCATTGTATTTTTGTCATCATATTAAGTAGGTTTGATATACGTTGCACCTTAATCTCTCTTTCCCCTAAAGTTTGATGCAAATAGCACAAATATATGATATATAACTAGTAAATAATCAGAAACTGAATGAAATCTTCATTTCAGAGTTTCTCTATATACCGAGAATAAAGCCACTACTGAAATCCATGGAGATTCTTACGACAGATAAAGCTAAAGATTGTGATGTTTCTAGATCCTCAATATTCCAGTCCCTCACCTCATGCTATAATCAGGTTACTTAATCAGCCACTGTTCTCATCTATATAAGGGTGTTTCAAATCAGGAATTTGGTATGTGATGATAATTTGTTAAGTATGAAAAAAAATCCAAACTCTTGAAAAAGGTTTCCTGTACATGATTGTTATTATAATGACTTCACAATTAGATTTTAATTTTGTCTTAAAGTATAGCAAAAATTGAATAAAATAAAAGGCAAGAGACCATGGCTTTTGCCATTTCTCTTTATTCTGCAGGTGTTTTTTTCCAGATGCTATTTTTGGAGCCCATAGCTAAGAAGAAGTAATGCTAGCTAACAATTTTTTTTCATTTCCTCCAAGTGGGAACATGGAATAATTAGAATAGCATCTTCTTCACAGGATAGATCCCCAAACTTCTTGGAGTAGAAAAAAAATTGGGAAAGATATAGAAAAATAAAAATGAAGAATTTGTGAAAGAGGAGTGATGCTTTTTCAGTAGGGATTTGACAATCCTTGGTAACTAGAGCTGCTGCATATAGTAAAAGGTTCAGTACATGAGGAGGAAGAGAGCTTCACTTCAGCGATGTTGGTGTATTAGTATATTGTGAAAGCCCTTTCTCAGCTGAGCAGATGATGTTAAGGAGCACAGGCCATGTATCTATCAAGTTTTCCTGTATACTCAAAAGGAGTTACCCTCTATCAGCTAGCTACTGCAGGAATTCATTATAATTCCAGGTTGCAAGTTGTGAGAACCTGTGTGCTAGAGAACTTAGGAAACATAACCATAAAAATCATTTGAGGTCTTTACCAAATACTTTCAGTGCTCCACTTTCCAGGCACCTGGTAATGATGTACTTCTCTGTCCTCTTTGGAGTTAGATCATGTGCTATATCTTTGACCAGGGAAATGTGAGCAGAAGTGACATGCGTCTCTTCCCAGTGGAAGTTTAAATAGCCAGTGTGCAATATGCTGTTTTAAGCTCCTCCAGTCCAGTGAACATGAAGGGTATATGGAGATGAGGCCTTGTCAGTTTGGTTCTCTGTGTGGCCTCTTATTGATGCACAGTGGGCATCCAGCATAAGAAAGACCTTCACTTTTATGGCCCTGTGACTGGGTGCCTCCTTAATTTTATATGCTAGACACTTTACTTGCTCTCTAGTCCTGGCCCCAAGCAAGAATAAGCTCATAGGCTGGAGAATGTGGCTCAGTGATAGAGCTCTTGCTTTGTATGCACAAGGCCCTGCGTTCAATCTCCAGCAAAAAAAAAAAAAAAAAAAAAAAAAAAAAAAAAAAAGAATAATGAAGCTCTAGTGTTAAAACATTGAGATTTTAGAGGGGTTGTTCATGACTGTAGTAGCCTGTAGCCCTCCAATGGATAGAACATCCCCCCATTAGACTGTACTAAGAATAGGTAGACACCAGCCCTGGTGGTTCTAAAATGGGTCTGGGCTTTCCTTGACCTAGGGACTCTAGATCTGAAATCACTTCTGGGTTTTTCTTCTGAGTAAGCCATGATAGCTGGGAAAATAGAACCCTATCAATTAATCCAGGTAAGTAAACTTGCAGGTGTTCTGGTACATGACAGACATGGCCAGAACACTAAAAATGAGCAAGTTAATAACATAATTAAGTTTTGTCCCAGAGTAAATAAAAAGTAAAAGGATATGCAGGCTGGTCTGGATTCAAATCAAATGCCCATTCTGACCTTCTCAGAGTCCATTAAAAATAGTAAACTTCCATTTGTAGTGTACACACAGATCCTCCATGAATTACCTTCTGGGTCAAATCAAGTTGTGTACAGGCGCATATACACAGGGATGAGTACGAAAAACTGTCATAACACAGCCTGTCGTATTCTTTATGATAGCGCATTAAATATATGCCTAAAAGTATGTCATTTATCTTCAGAATAATCACCTATTTAAGTAGTATGTGGTACAGAGTTGGATTTGTTGGAATTCCATCATCATGATGAGCTTTCAGACCTTTTATAGAAAATCAAAGTAAATTTCCCATTGCTACAAACCTTTAGATACTTCACATCATTAGGATGACTGGCATATTATGCAGCCTTATGCTGGGAGATTGCTGAGGTGCTTGGAGAGTAGCCCTAATAAAGATGAGACGAAGCTTAAACCCAGGTGGGCCAGTTAGCTTCACACAGAGAAAATCTTTCATAGCCATGCACAATTGTGGTCTCAAGACAAATCTGTCAAATTAGCCACAAAGGAGCCTGGGTAAGCATGTCTACAGATTCCTACACCCCATTATTGCTAATGGAAAAATAAGTCCTAATGTTGCCTCTTACTACACACATTTTCTCTCCAGAGTCCTGCCTTGTTAATATGATGTCTTTTAGGTATACTCCCCTCTAAAATGTTACTCTAAAACAGAATAAATATCCCCAAAAGAGCAGCTGCGCAGCTGTCTGAAAATTATTATGCTAACTGCTCCTTTTTTTCCTGAACTCTGAAAACAGATGTTACTTTTATATAGGTTATCTTCTCTTGGATGACGGATGACCCAATACTCGAAAGCTCAATCACATCGCAAGTCGTTATGTTCTCCACGCCTGCATGGACTCTTCCATGGTAAAAGAGCTGCTCACTGCATGGCAGACAGGAAGCAGAAAACAAGGACCTTTCCAGGCCACACACACAATGACCCACCTCTTCTGACCAGGTTCCACCTAACAGCCAGTCACCTTCCAAACATATGATGCTTTGGAGGCCATCTTAGATCTAAGCTGTAATACCTTTCTTTCTTTCATTACTCACTTCTGTTTTCAAATTCTATTAACTTTCACCTCAATGACACTTGTACCCACACTTCCTCTGCATTATCCTTGCCATTTCCTGTTCTCTGTATCACATCATTACAAAGTCTTCTGGATATTCTTTTTTTCCCTCTGATGTCTACCTCTGCCAGGAAAATCTGTGTGACACAAAAATCTGACTCTGACTCTCCTCTGCTTGAAAAAAATTTATATTGCCATGCTTTTTCTCAAATTGAATCACTAACTAGAAAGGTCTTTTTGTTGTTGTTTTTGTTTTGTTTTAAGACAGACTTTTACTATGTGGCAGGGTGGCCTTGAACTCATGGAAATCCTCCTGTCTTAGTTTCCCAAGTGCTGGGATAGTTCTACCTGGAGAATTTTTACTTGTCAGCTCAAATGTGACTTCTTTGAGGGCATTCTTCAATTTTCTTCCTTCTTTTCCTTCTTTTGTGGAATCTTTTGTGTGCTGGTAAAAATTTCTTGCCTTGTATTTCAATTATCTTTTTGCTGCACAGCAATCTCCTTCCTCCACAAAACATAGTGATTGAAAATAAAGCCCATCTTATTTTTGGTCATAATTCTGTGCATGGACTGATGTAAGATGGATCATCATTGTTCTTTTTGTTATATCAGCTGGGCTATAGTCATCTGAAATATCCCAAATGGCTCATTTAGGTGGCTGACTGTTGGTGTTGACTGTTGTCTAGGAATTTAGCCCCCTTTCTCCTCATTTCTGCTTCCTATAGTTTGATTTTCTCACAGCATCAGAACTAGGTTCAGAGGAAGAGTTTCTCAAGAGGAAAACTTCTAAGTAGAAGGAAGAAAATGGTGCCCATCTTCTTGAAAATGCCAGAGTGACATTTCTACCACCTTCTATTGGCAAAACAATCACTGATGAGTAAATGAAGTGGCAAATCTAGAAAGGAGCAGCGTGATCAAACAGGGGCAAAGGGATTCATTGGGTCACCTTTGAAATTAGCTACCATGCCCTTTTGCTGGTAGACAGTCCTTTTCTATAATTTGGAAAGAGTGGGGAGAATAGACAATATATTTTAATTATCTGTTTTATCCACAGTCCTTAGACAGGTCCTGTGATATGGCTCTTAGATTCTTAGTACATGTTTAATGAATATTACAGTCCAATTAGATCAGAACATATCTACTCATCTATTTTGAGCACTTATTCTCTGATATTCTACCTGGTTGAGTGAATTTGATGAAAGAGACTTTGCCCTCCAGGAACTTATGACTCAGGGACAGCATTGCACTAAAGGGACTCAACAGATGAGGAGATGATTCATGGTTCAAGGTAATTACAGACAGGACTTCAATGGTCAGTCTATGATTGATTTTCATGTTATTTGTGTGAGTATCAATGCTACAGATTTTTAGAAGAGGTTGATATTTAGAGGATGGCTTTTACATAGAATATGGAGTTGGATCTGAGTGTGAATGGCAAGCTGGGATCTGGGATGAGAGAAAAAGATGAATAAAGTGAAATTTCTAAAACAATTATGTGAAGATGGAGCCACACAAGATATGTTACTACACACAGACACACACACACACACACACACACACACACACACACACACACACGCACGCATGCACATACACACACAAAGTTGTAAACATTTTTTCCAGGGAAACCTGACTCATGCACCCTTTAGTAAATAAGCAAAAGTGATAAAAAATATGAGTTCAAAATAACTTCTTGGAAACAGTTACTAAGAACTGAGTGTGGTACCACACACCTGTAATCCCAGTTAATCAGGAGGCTGAAGCAGGAGGATCATAAATTTGAGCCTAGCCTGAGCAGCTTAGTGAGACCCTATCTCAAAATAAAAAATAATAAGGGCAAAACTTAGTGATGGGAGTACCTCTAGGTTTGATTCTCAGTAGAGAGGGAAAAAACTACATGAAATGATAAAAATACACAAAGCAGAAATTATACTGCTCACTGAATATCACAGTTTCCCCCATACTTCCCAACTTCTCTTGAAGTTGACTTGGGCTGACATGTATGTGACATATGGCCAAAAGCAGTAAAGAGCAAGTGAGAGATCTACATGTTTTCTCTTTTCCTTCTGTATAGCTATAAGAGACAAATTCTGAGGTAGCAGGATTACAAAATAGAATTTAGCCTGGATCTGTAAGTTAACCATCAGGGGAGAGCCATGAAAGAGTTTCTTTAGTCACTTGAGAATACAACTGAACAAGATGTATATGTTTTCTTCAGCCATTGAACTATTAGCATTTATTACCTCAGTGTCATTGCCCCTAGGCTGTTATACCTAATATTCTCTGAAGGACATGAATGATACATAATACAAATTTTTAATCTTCTATTTAAAAACAATAATAAGCAAAGAAAACTTGTAACATACATTGTTTTTACTGTCTGTAAATGAGGGTTATATTTTCCTTCTGAGGAGCAAATGATTAAGTGAATCTATTAGTAAATATCTATAATCCCTTATGACCAATGATTGAGTTCATTCATACGCTGACATACAAAACACTCTGAAGTAACTACCATCATGGTCAACAGAAGGTGGACAGAGAAGAACATTTTATTTGAAACAGATATTCCTTAAATCTTATTAACTCAATGTCTCCTCCAATCAGACCTCAAAGCATGGTCACTAACAAGTAGAAAATGACTCTCCCTGCTTCTTCTTCTCCAATCTTTATCCTAATATGTGCACTAATTAGATGAAAGATAATCAAAGGGTTAGTCACCCAACAAAAGGGAGGAACCAGAGACATCAGCAAGCTACAAAACAGGGGTCCTAATCAAGGATGTCAGTTCCACCTGTCACAACTCTGTTGCCAGGGATGATCTTAAATGAGGTCCTTGTTTTATCAACTCCACTTATTCTGTGACCTAAAATAATATTGATTTGTATACTGGTTTCTGGGCCCTCTGGAACTTCTTAATTTAGTGTATCAAGGCCATTTATATTAGAGATTATAACCAATCTTCTCTGCCTCATTTCTGTTATGCTCTTTTTTTGCCATCAGTTGTCTGCTTATCTTCTTCATTCTGTTTTCTGCTCCATTCATTGAGGCCTCTCTGCCAGTGTTCCTGGAATCCTAGTACTTTTCTCTCTGTTTAGAATGTCCTGAAGTATTCTCTGTAGAGTTGGATTGGTGGTTACAAATTTCCCAAGTTCTTTGTCTTGGAAGCATCGTGTTTCTCTATTAATTTCTAGAGACAGTTTAGCAGGATATATCAATCTAGGATGGAGGTTATTTTCTTTCAGGACTTGGAATATTTCGCTCCAGGCTCTTCTTGACTTGATGGTTTGTGTCGACAAGTCTGTTGTTATTCTGATGGGCCTTACTCTATAGGTTATCTGTTTCTTGTCTCTAACAGCTTTTAATATTCTGTTCTTATATTGAATTTCTGGAATCTTGATTATTATATGCCTTGGTGTAGCTCTGTTTTGGTTGTAGGTGGCTGGAGTTTTGTATGCCTCATGCATCATAATGTCATTTCCTTTTCCTGTGTTTGGGAAGTTTTCTTTAATTATTTCTGTCAATAGACTTTGTAGTTCCATTCTTGGTACCCCTGCTTCTTCATTCACATTCTTTATTCTCAAGTTGTAGATTCTCTTGTCATCTTCTAGCCTTTGTATTGTTACTGCTTGTTTCCTTGTTATTTTAAAAAAGTTTTGCCTTTTATAATCCCACATTGCAAAACTGTTCTCCAGTTTGGATAATCTATCCTTAGTTTCTTTCAAACAGATTTGCCATCTTTCCATAGAGTTTTTAATTTCCTGGTAATCTCTTTGAATATGCTTCATGTATTCAATATTTTCTTTATATTCTTCATCAAATGGTTCTCTCCTTTGTTTGAGTTCCTCCCTCCTTCCATCTGTGTCTGCTTGAGGGGTGCTTAACATTTCTTTTATTAATCTTCTTATATCTTGCTTTATTTGGCTAACTATTTCACTTTTGAACTCGTCTATGAGGTTCTGAAGGTATCTTTTTAATGTCCACTGGTGCCATGTCTGATATTGCATGTTTGCTGTTCTCATCCTCCTTTGTATTTACCTGTCCTGGTTCAATGTTCTCAGGGTTGGGACCTGGGGAGTTTTTGTTGTTGCTTCCTCTTCCCACCTCTTTTGTTTCTTCCAGGAGGCCCCAGTTTCTTTCTTTGCTGGTTACAATTCTTCTGAAGCCTGCTGGCTAGGTGACTCTTTCCACTGAAGTTTGCTAGTAAGTTGCAAACAGGGGCAGCGTACACTGGCCCCTCCCTTCTGGATCAGTCAAGCTGCTGAAGCCTGCACTGTATTACTATGTGCCACCTCCCCTCCGGATCAGTCAAACTTCTGAGGCTTCACTGCATTAGTGTGGTTAATGTGCACCGCAGCTGTGGGGATTTGATTTCAGATAACCTATTGGGTCTCAGCCAGGTCACGTGACCCAGGCCTAGATCACTCTACCAATCCCGTTCAGGAAGGGAACAACTGACTGAAGTCACTGCTGCCCCTTGTACTTGCCAGTCCTGCCTACCCCCAGAATGTCATCTGCTGGAGGCCCCCCCCTTCTGTGGAATGGCTCCATTCCCGTCACTCACCACAGGTCAATGCAGGCTCCCCGCCAGCTCAGCTTTCCCTTCAGGTGGCTGACCCCCAATCTCAGTGTGTCTGCACCTCCAGTGAGTCGAAGTGGTGGAACTTCGGTCAGCTCAGCAAGTCACCCGCTGCTGCGAGAGCACTGATCCTTTAGCTGTTCCAATAATAGCACCGGGACTCTATGTTTGATTGGTTCTTCTCACCTTACTTTCTTCTTGGGATGAGAGAATTC